ACCCCTCCCCTCCTCTCCCCTTCCCACCTCTCCCGTCCTCTCCTCTCCCCTTCCTTCCCCTTCCCACCTCTCCTCTCTCCTCCTCTCCCTTTCCTTCCCTCCCCACCTCTCACCTTCCCATCTCTCTCCTCCCCTCCTCTCCCCTCCATCTTCTCAGCCATGAGCTCATGGCTTTACTCTTTCACATCGCTGCAGCTGCCACTGTCCTCTTCCTTGCCACTGGCTCCCAAACAATGAGGCTAACCAATGTTTAATTCAGATGGACTTTAATTTAGAATACCTCTAAAACCGTAAGCCAAAACAAGCCTCTTTGTAAGTAGACTGTCTCAGGTATTGGCTACAGGCCTGGAGAGCTGATTAATGCATAGAACAAACAAAAGTTTGAAAAGTAAAGTATCAAGAATTTACTTATCCATTTCAATTTAATTAACTCACCCTCTTGTGAGTGCCATGGTCTTCCTGAAAAGTATGCCTTGTGGATGAGGAACACTTTACAACCCACGAGCCAACCTTTTCCTCAAATTCATGTGCAAAAACAGTGGATGTGAAGGTGATGCACATAGAACCTTGTTCTGCAAGACCAGTAGGTAGATATTTGGTCAGGGAAGGGAGCTTATACAATGGTCAGGGCAAAAGAGACTTCTATCCAAGTCAGAATGTACCTGGTTCATGTCAAGCTGATATTGAGGGTGTCATTATACTCCTGACACCAGACCAGAGAGCTTCATTAGTACTCTAATGGCTTTATTTATTTGCAGTGTGTTAGGAAATGATTCAGAGGTTACTCAGGGATAGTCATGTTAATTACAACTCAAGATGACCTTCTCGACCATAGCTATCAGGCAGTTGGCCCAGGGTATGGGAATGCCAGCTGGGTGCTGGTTCTCTTGGGAACAGGTCAGAGCATCCTAGAGTGCTTCTGCTAACTGCTGATTTATGGCTTCTGTAGGTTATGCCTGGCTTTCTTCTGCAAAATAGTAGTTGCTAACAGACCCCTTTCTGGTTGGAAGACTTGGGGAAACTTTAAAAAATCAGGTTTCTAGGATACAATTGCTATACAACAAAACCCCCCCTAGAGAGAACTTCGTGACCAGTAAAGGCAAGGTAAATAGTAAGATTGATAATGTCTGTTTATGAATGAGGAGGAGCAGATGTACTATGGTTTGGGTAGGGGGTTTGGATGGAAAATTGTATTTTCTTATGTATTTCCTTGATAATGTTTATTCAAGCTTAACGCTCAATGATTAGCTTCTGTATTCTGCTTGCTTGCCTAGCAACATGATCAATATAAAAAGAGCCAGAGTGCTTAGGCTCGGTGCTACTCTCAGACCCTTTAGGAAAGAGTGTAGCCCGGCCGTAATAAATCTATCTTGCCTTCCCTAGACTCACCTGTTTGTCTGTTTGGGGCATTTGTGGGTCACAGATTATAACAATGACTATGGTCAGGTGGAGCTGGATCTTACACTATCTGCCTTATCTCATATTAGATTGTCTTAAGTACTTGGAGTTTGCCAGCTAAGTACACTGTGCTCAAATGTTTGCAAACGAACCTAGTTTTAATTTGATTTACTTTATGACACTCTAAACTTGAAAATGGGTTCTCTACTCAGTCAGCCATGGGATAACTTCAATTATATTTAGAACAACTTGAGCATGTCATTTTAATTTTTTAGCTCTAATTTTTTTTTAGCTCTAAATTTTAGAAAACCTAAGATTTTTTTTTTTATCTAAGACAGATAAAATTTTTCTATGAAAAATGTAATGTACAAAGTATAAAATGCGGGGCTGGAGAGATGGCTCAGCGGTTAGGAACATTGGTTGTTCTTGCAGACCTGGGTTCGAATCCCAGCACCCAAATGGCAGCTAACAGCTGTCCGTAACTCCAGTCCCAGGGGTTCTGACAGCCTCTTCTGACCTCCGCAGGCATTGCACGACATGGGTGCACTTACCTACATCCAGGCAATACATGCATACACACAAAATAAAAATGATAAAAATTTTTAAAAAGTATAAAATGCATATTTAATTCTGAAAACAACATGAAATACAATCTTGCATCCTTGATAGCCAAGCTCTCTCTGTGTTTAACAACAAGTATTGATTGCCTTCTACAAAAGATTATTTTAGAGTTCAAGACCAGCCTGGTCTACAAAGTGAGCCATCTCTCCAGTCCCAAAAGATTATTTTGAACTTACCTAGTTCAGAATTTTGATTTTCGGCTGGCAAGATGGCTTAGCAGGTAAAGGTGCTTGTCACTAAGCTTGACAACCTGAGTTCAATCCCTGGGACCCATGGAAGAAAAGAACCAACTCCCACAAGTTGTCTCCTGACCATCACACGTGTGCCAAGGAACTCCTCCCCCCTAAATAAATAAATGAAAATAAAAAAGAATGTTTGATTATGTTATAGTACTTTTCATACATTGGGATTAATAAAATAGGTTATAAAAATTAGTTTTAGCTGGGCACAGTGTACATGTCTGTAATCTAAGCACTTTGGAGGCTGAGGTATGATAATAGTGAGTTTGAGGCCAGGTTGTGCTACATGGTAAAACTGTCTTGAAAACCTCTAAACAAACATACAAAGAAATCGAAAAACTAAAAAATAGTTTTACTTGCTTTTTTTCCCCCTTTCAAATGTAACTACTGGAAACATTTTTAGAAGATTTATTTATTCTTTATATGTATAAGTGTTTTGCCTGCATGTATATCCGTGCACGCCTGGTGTCCTCGGAAGCTAGAAGAGGCTGCCAGATCCCCTGGAACTGGAGTTGAGGACAGTTAGCCATCATGTGGGTGCTGGGAACTGAACCCAGATCCTCTGCGGAAGCAGCCAGTGCTCTTAACCATTGCGTCATCTCTCTAGTTCACTACTGGAAAATTTAAATCACATGCGTAGCTGACGTTCTCTGTCTGCCCTGGGTGAAGGCCATGTGCATTGGGTTTGCCTTTGAGCCCCTTTATTAGAGGGGAGCTGCCTTGAATGTAGGTGAGAAAATGGAGAACCCAATTGAGATTTTGTAGTAACTCCACCTCTGTGGAGACCACTGTTTGAGAACCCAGGTCTTCAGTCCACTGCATCCATTGCTATCCCTCCCAGAATGATGCCAGAGGATCTGTGCAAAACTTGCTGGTGAGAAGACACACAAGTTTAAGATTTCCAAATGATTCTGAGCCACTGATACTAACGACAACTAGGATTCAACCAACCCCAACACCAAAAATAGCCTAAAAAAGCTGGGCAAAACCAAGAAATATATTAGGAAGTACCAGAGAGCAACCAGCTTGGACAGACTACAATCAGATCCCCCACATATCTCCATTTTCCTTGAGAACTGTTCCTGGATTACATCTGGAGATAAAACAAAGCAGAAAGTGGTAGTCCGATGACTGGAGAGATGGCTCAGTGGTTAAGAGGCTCTTGCATAGGACCTGGGTTTGAATCTCAGCACCCACATGGAGGCTAATAACCATCTGTAATGCCAGTTCCAGGGGATCCAACATCCTCTTCTGTCCTCCATGGGCACTGTGCTCATGGGTACACCTACACGCAGGGAAAACACTCATTTTTAAAAAAGGCTGGGTGTTATGGTACAGGCCTTTAATCACAGCACTTGGGAGGCAGAGGCAGACAGATCTCTGTGAGCTCAAGGACAGCCTGGTCCACATAGTGAGTTTCAGGCTGGCTAGGACTAGGGTGACCTGTCAAACAAACAAACAAACAGAAACAAACAAAACAAGTGGCAGTCCAGGACTTCAGTCCTCTCTCCTGTCAAGGTGGCAGCTGCTGGGTTGGAGGAGAGGAAATGAAGAGATGGAAACAGAATGCAAGTTGTTTAATCACCTGGGATCTGAAGTTGAAACCTCAGGGGTCAGGAACTGCAGAAAAGGAGGCCCAAAACTCGGAGTTCAAGTTTCTCTCAGGTTAATTGACTGATTCCCAAGTGGTACACACACACAGGGTGCTGTTCCAAGACAATATTGAAAACAGTTGCTGGGAGGCCAAAGGCTGCAGCAGGAATCTTGACAGCTGTGCCACGTTGGGGAGTAAGAAACTGGAGTGAAAACTCAATAAGGGGGGGGGGGC